TACATTCAAAGCGGGTAGGGATGGGGCGGCCTTCTCATCAATGTCTGAGATGCGGCCCCCATTCAATCCAAACGAACCAACTGCTAGAACATTCCAATAGATCATGCAGTACGTTCGCTCGTTTTATGAGAAACTCTTAACATCCGAGAAACGACCTGGGCCCTGGGGAACCAATCATCGACCCCGACAGTGCACAGATGTTGTGGGGCTCAACACGACAGATCCTCTCTAAAGACGAACAAAAACAATTAGAAAAACCAATTACCCTCAAGGAACTAACTGAAGCAAGAAAGACTATGGCTAAGGGCAAATGCCCTGGCCCCGATGGGCTCCCAATAGAGCGCTTTGAGATGTTCTGGAACCTACTGGGGGTCCAGATATGGTACGCATCTTCAATGGAATTCTCAATGGTCACAAATTGGGACCTCGGACGACAGAGGGTGTAATAACCTTGCTATATAAGAAAGGTGATAGAAGGGAGGTACGTAATTGGTGCCCCATATCTCTTCACAATGTGGCAGGGAAAATCCTGGCCAAAACCATGGCCAGAAGGTTAACCAAACTCATGACAAAGCTAGTGTCACCAGAACAGTCTGGTTTTGTTCCTGGCAGACAAGTATTAGACAACGTAATGACCATCTCAAAAGCACTAGAAGTAATCAAATCAAGGAATTCTAACTTAACAGTGTTATTAATCGACTTTGAAAAAGGCTATGACCTGGTTAACTGGGACTTCGTCCAAGAAACACTTATACGTGTTGGCTTTGGTCCCAACTTCATTACCTGGTTCAGATCTTCCACAGTGGTTCCCTAGGCCGGGTGCTAGTAAATGGTTTCATTTCACCCCCCTTCACAGTGTCAAGACAAGGATACCCATTGGCTCCCTCTCTCTTTGTAATTCAGAWGGACGGTTAAATCCCATCCACATTATAAGGGCCTACYGGTGTCTCTGTCCTATAGCCTCAAAGTTTCGGCACTCGCCGACGACTTCTCAGCAATCTCCGAAAATTCCACTGAATCACGACTAGCCTTCAGGCAATGCTTATCTGTTTATGAAGCCACCTCAGAAATGAAAGTTAGTTAAACAAGTCTATTGCCATGACTCAAGATTGCAGTCCGTTGGCAACAGACTGGGGTCTGAAAGTCCTTCCCAACATGGATTCCGAACGGTACCTGCGGATTTTAGTTTTGTTTTCTGACTGTACCATGGCACAAAACTCCATCATAGAAGAAAGAATAAGGAACTCTTGAGCTCATTGGTCCAAAAAGAATTTTTTGTCACTCTTAGGACGTGCTATGGTGGCCAACGTATCAATTCTCCACAATATGGTACATCCTCTCATTCCGGGAACTGTCCCAACGCTCTCTCCAGCTGATACGTAGTCTTCTCTCTACTAGTTCATTTGGAAAGGTGACTCGGATGTTGCCTCATGCATACATAAGTTAGTCTGGTGGAAGATCGTGGAAAAGAAAAAGGATGGGGGCCTAGGGGTCATTGACCCTGAAATTCAGAACAGATCTCTACTAACTAAGGGGTTGGTCAGACTTTTGACACACCATGGATCCAATTGGCAATCTGTATTCTCTCKAACGAATGGAACTTATCAGATAATACAGCAATATGGGACTGTCTACTCCTTCCCCCGCTGACCAAAAATACTAACCTCCCTACCTGGGGCCCGATTCTCAAATTCTGGTCCAAAATGACACCYGACAGACTCATGCCCTGCTCATCAGCTGAAGAGATCCTTGCATCAGTTTGTACGAAAACCCCGCCATTCGCGGAGAGCAAGGAGCGGTGTTCAATGTTTCTGCACAACCTGGTAATTTTGGTCAAAAATGGCTACAAAGGGGTATCTGGTGAGTGAAACGCATTTGGGACAGGAGACATAAAAGATGGAAAACAGCAGACGGACTGAAGAACAATCTCAGGGGTCTCCGGAATACCTCCTCACATCTGAGAGAGGTAACAAGGGCGATCCCACAAGATTGGCGCCAGACACTCTCGGAGGACGGGGACGATTGGTTGGAAGCACCTGGTGGACGGACTCCGAACAGGGTAACCAAATCCTGCATATCTTGGAATTAAGGCCAGGTAAGAAGGCGAAAGTAGACCCTTGGCGGCAATCRGGCCCGACAGAKTTCAAGCTCATCGAAGGCGCACAGCTACCCCACTGCAGGTTAGGAGTGCTCATTGAAGTAAAGCTCACGATTACCACAGAGGGCACCCCGCTAGCACACAACGGCTACTCTCACAAGACAACAGGGATTATGGGACATCATCCATCCGAATAGGGGTGGACGCTGACCTCAGATTCAGCGCCTCCGGCTATTACCCCACTCCTCAAGTACACTCCCAGACTGGGTTACAGACTAAATTCGAAGGCCTCATCTCTGAAAAGGCATTCCTGGTTGTCATGGAACATGAGAACTCAACCAATGTCCTTCTCGACATGAACGGCTGGTTTCCATTTTACTGTCAAATGATATCCGGGATAACAGAAGTTAAAGTAGGAGGTCTTGAATGGTTGCACATGCACTCGTGTGTACCSACAGCCGAATGGTGTTCAGAGAAAGGAATGATGGTGAATATTTTCTGCGATCAATGYCCCTACCCACGAGTGGAATCCTCTGCRCATCTGTGGTGGGAATGTGTCATTGCCAGGGGCTTTTGGGAATGGGTAGAGACAATTTGKTTCAAAGCGTACGGGGAGACAACCTGCTCAGTCAATCCCCTGGAACCCAGGGTAACCAATGCTGGCAGGAACCCTCTTCATTGTTTTCTGATGCCATTCTGATTACAGTCGGTATATGGGACGCTGGACCCGGTTTCCAGCAGGTGACGCTCCCCACCAATACATGGAGCCTCTCCTCAGGTGGTAGTGGTGTCTGCTCTTACCAGCACCACGATCACCTGTCAGTGAGGGTGTTTTTAAAAAAAAAAAAAAAAAAAAAAAGAGACCTATGTATGGAACCAGTCCTTTGTTTTATCCTGAATTACGTCTGTAAAGAACAGTAAAACGATAGCATACAAATCTCGGTCCATAGCATTTTGGCTCTTGTGGCTAGCACGCAGACATAGAAGATTTAAAGACAAGCCATCATCCAATATGGCCATTAGAAACCAATTCAGATACTCAGTAAGGATGCTGATGATGGCTGAGTACAGAAAAAAACATAACCAGGAAGTCTTGAGGGGGAAGGTCTACACAACTCCTAAGGGTCATTGGGAGCACCCGTTTAGGTGCCACTGGGCGGGCTCAGTGGAGTCAGGACAGATCTTCTTCTCTAGACTACTATGGGATGAACAGGGGACATGATCCAAAACAGATCACAGCCAGTAGGCYGGAAGGCTCTCAGCAATAGGAACTCAAGGTACCCTTGGTTGGTTGGCAAATCTGGGATAGCAGTGTAGCTATCAAGAGGGGTTATTTCTGTAGACTTCCTCAGAGACAGAGGACGCTGGACCTGCTTTCCAGCAAGAGACAGGGTGCTGGACCTGGTCCCAGCCTGAGATATGAGGACGCTGAAGCTGTTTTTCAGCAGCAAACCCGGGTTGAATTGTGAGGTCCCCGGCGTCAACCCCACGCCATCCACAATGGGCCTCGCCACACCACTCCCGACTTTCGGGAATGCTCCCGGAAGTGAAAACCCGCTCCGGAGTGCCTTTCTCCACACTACACTCTCGACCCGGCTCAAAGTCTGAAAATGTCATTGCCACACCGGAAGTGAAAACCCGCTCCGGAGTGCCTTTCTCCACACTACACTCTCGACCCGGCTCAAAGTCTGAAAATGTCATTGCCACAAGTGGACACGGTCAGTGTGAAGCAGTCCGGAAGAAGTCATTTGTCCCTTCCAGCTCCACTCCAGAATCCGGGATGACACTCGGAGGAGCGAAGGAGGTCTCTCGAAAAAAAAAGCTTTGCAGGCGGTGAGTTCAGGAGTGCACTCAGGAGCCACATTCTGACAGCTCCCGAATTGAATCTGACAGGTCGAACTCGGGAGCTGGTGTGGCGATGCTGCACTCCCGAAAATGGCCAAGTCAGGAGTAGTGTGGCCAGGCCCAATTTGTACAAGAACTTTTGTGAAAGAATTTTTGCCAATTTGTGAAGAAAATATGAAAAATGAAATAGAGTTCAAATAGGGCATTTGCGGTCACCTCCAGAGGTGACTGCACAATCCCCTTGCCCCGTGGCTTCCCGCGACGCTGACAAATGGGCACAGGAATAGTACATTTGCGGATTTGGTAGATCCGTGTGACCGGCCTTTTCCCCTTTTTTTTGGGACTTTTGGATTATAGGTCCCCGTGTGAGTATGCCCTAATGCGCAGTTCATTGTTTTTTTTGCTGTTTCGAACTGCTCAAGGCCCAATCTTGCAGTGGACTGTTATTTCTGCTACTTTCGAACTGAACAGCAGTCACGGGCGCACTTGTCTCAAAAAGTAAATTTGTGAAATACTCTTGGCATCAGTTGGACCCACATCTGTGCAATATACCCCTACCGGGTACCGTCCAACTTTGCAAAATGCCCCAACACTTGCCAACTTTTCCTAGGCTCTATTGCCAAAGGCCAAGGCCCAAACGGGGAGGTCCAGATTGCACACCTGCCTGAAAGGGGCACTACACAAAGATTTCGACTCAAAAGAGCCTCCCGCTCTACCCACATCTTTCCAGGGCATTTTGGTATATATCTCATGTTATGGGGGTATTTTGCAAATTATCTCAAAAAGAAAAGCAACACAGTTTGATAGAGGGCTAACGWATTATATTCAATTGAAAATATGGCACTGCCAAATCGCTTCATAAGTCAGATCCAGAGTAAAACAGGAAGGAGTGGAGTTATGGAAGAGGATGAGGGAGGAAGAAGTGAAGTCCACTTTACCGAGTAGCTGGAATGGATAAAATCACTGGTTACTGCGAGTCCCGGATCGAATCCTTGTTATGATAGAGTGATAATACTACTACCGCTATTGCTACTCCTGTCATCGCGGTCACAGCAGTAGACTAAGTACCTTTTCATTGTCTACCATGCTATTACGGCTACGGACGCAGTAGTGCATGCACGACCAGGAGTCCTGAAATATGGGATCCTGCTTCCCACCTGAAACGAGGGTACAGAACTAAGAAAGGAGAATTCCTTTACGTCAGAGTTTCTCATGCCAAACCTCTATATCTCCTTATTTCTCATCTTCACCCTTGCCATACTTCTCCCGTACACACTTGGCATCTTTTTCCCCTTCAAGGATCAGATTGGAATCGAAATCCTCTAAGGGCTCTTCAATATCTGAACAGCCGAATGTTATTCACCTTCTTGATGTCTATCAACTAGCAACCACCATATGCACGTGGTCTGCAGCATTGCGCTCTTAAACTGCCCTCTACAGCACGTCCCTTCATGGAAGCCTGAGAGGACCAGACAATTTTTCATCAGCACAGACTAGTGCAACACTTCTTTGAGTCTTTGACCTAAGACGGTAGTATGACAATTACTTGCACCACCCATTTCAGCACCTTCCATTTCCCACAGTGCGAGTTTGTGCAGCAACCCCTCCATCATCCTCCACAGCAGAAGAAGCCCGTGCGGCAATCCCTACGAGTGCGTCGAGTGGCAACACTTCTTGCACTTCCCCTTGCAGCACTTGGTGCCTCGGCGACACAACCTGCCATTGCAGCACCTTGGACCACCACAACACTGGGCATACTTGCAAACTCCCCTGCAGCAGATCTGTCGCCGTCTGCAGTGCTCATCCCGGCAGCATGCCTTGCACACACCTTTGCAGCATCTGGTGCCCCGAGGACATACGTTTCCGTTGCAGCAGCCCGGGTATGAAGGGCAACATGAGCCACGCACGCACTTTCCCTTACAGCACACCTTCCCCTTTCCGCAGTCGGTGGCTTTGCAGCATACCTTGCACATGCCTTTGCAGCATCTGGTGCCCCGAGGACATTTCTTTCCATTGCAAGAGCACGGCTGTGAAGGGCAGGATGAGCCACGTTCGCACTTTCCCTTACAACACACCTTCCCCTTTCCGCAGTCGGTGGCCTTGCAGCATGCATAGCACACACCTTTGCAGCATCTGGTGCCCCGAGGACATTTCTTTCCCTTGCAGCAGCCCCGGTCCGAAGGGCAGCATGAGCCACATTGGCACTTTCCCCCACAGCACACCTTCCCGTTCCCACAGTCTGTGTTTTGGCAGCAAGCCTTGCACCCTCCATTGCAGCATCTGGTGCCCACTGGACATACCTTTCCATTGCACAACTTGGGTTTGGAAGCGCAGCAGGAGCCCGTTTTGCACTTTCCACCACAGCATACCTTCCCAACTTCGCAGTCATTGGAAGCACAGCAGGCCTTGCACAATCCAGCACAGCATCTGGTTCCGCTAGGGCACATCACTCCATTACAACAGTCTGGTTCTGAAGGGCAACAAGCCTTGCACTTCCCACCACAACATTTTTGGCCGGCTTCACAATCCTCAGCCCT